GGTGTTTTAGTTTCATTTGGGATGATGCACCGTACAAAATGGGGGTGAGTGCTTCTCAAGTTAGCCATCAGCTTGTTTAAATTCTCCTGTGAGATCATGAAATGAAGTTTACATTATTAAGTGTAAGCACTGGAATCTTAAGAGTGGATGCATCAAACTGGTGTTTCAGGATGCAGACCTGCCTTCTTTAAAACAACTTCCAGAACAGAAAAGGAATATTGGAAGCTGAAGTGTCCCGAATTTTGGTTTTGAAATTCTTTTATAGAATAATGATTAGCATTACTTTTCATTGACATCCTCATCCAAATACAGGGCTATCATCTCAGTTTTCCTTTGAGCTGGCAATTTTTATGGTATAATGCTGGGGATATTAAATAAATTATGTGCTCTTGATCAAGAATGATTTGTCAGTGAAGTAAGTTGTTTCTAAACGGAGAGGATAGTTTTATAGTCCATATAAATAGTAATCCAGTCTCAAACTTTGAAGACATAATTGAAAACTGATCTTCTGAATCATTAATTTGAATAAATTAACCTTCATTTTTTTCAACATTGAAATTCAGTCATTGTCTTAAAATCCTATAATCTTGGGGCAATTTCTTTTGCTTTTTATGTTTGATTTTCAAATTTTACTGCTAGTAAGCACTGAAAATCTGCCTAGAGACATAAAACAAGTCTAGAAATATATCTGAAAGCTACGGAGAGGATTTTAAATAAGTCAGCTGATACGTCACTCACTCCCACCTAAGTAGGTGCTCTTAACCCTTCAGATATTTTTGTGGAATTCAAAGATGGCATTATAAAAGGAACATTAAGTAAGTTCAAAGGATAGAAAGAGAACGGTTTTAAAGGATGACAAGAGTTATATCCAAAATGGAAGCAGACCTTTCAGATTCAGAATAAAAATGCTTTCCATCTTTAAGGAGATAATAAATAATTACCCTGAAAAGAGCAGAGACAGTCTGGAAGGAAGAACCCTTCTTCTTGCCTCCCTTCTTGCCACCACCACCAGCATCTGAAAATCAAAGACAAGAAAAAAAGTTTAATAATATGAACAATATATATTGGAAAATATAGACACAAAGCCACTTTATATTTCTAGTGTTTGCAGCTTTAATTCTGAGAAAACTTTGTCCCATATTAAAAATACAATTTCCACAAAACTGACCTGCATCTGCTCCACCATAGTTGGCAAAGAGTAAAGCCAGGGTCTTCACAGATGATTTCTGGTACAGCCCAATGACAGTTTCATTCAGAGGGT